CTACTTTGAGTATTTAACAAGTTTTTTTAGCTACTTTTAGCCTTTTGCTAATTTTAGATATTAACTATTTGCTTTTTGTAGCTTTCAGTTACCTTTTTGCCACATTAGCTTTTAGCAAGCTACTTTTAGCTAGCTTTTTGTTGCCATGAGCAAGCATTTAGCTACCTTTAGCTTTTAAGTATTTTTTGCTAGTTATATCGTTTTAGTTAGCCTTGAATTACTTTTATCTCTTTGTTAGCATTTTATTCATTTTAGCTGCAAGCAGTTTTTATTTTAATTTGCTATAATACATTTAAATTCTAGCAACCGCCTTTGCTCGTTTATCTACCTTTTGTTATGTTTGTTTTAGCTAGCCTTTTATTATTTTAGCTGTTTGCTAGGTTTTTGATACTTTTAGCTTCTATCTACTGTTTAGCTATTGCACTTTATTACTCTAGCTTTTGCTCCTTTTAGCTTTTAGCTCGTGTTCTGCTTCTTTTAGCTTTAACAAATCAGTTTGAGCTGTTATTGTGCCTCTATAAAGTTCTATCTTATATATAAATAAAACTTTTTACAACCTATAGATCTGCTAAAACACCTGGAAATAAAAAGTTCTTCTGGCCTACCCTCGTGACATCTCTTTCCACTTTCCTTTGGCGATCTGAGAGGAGCCCATCGGCTGACATGGCATTTGTGCTCTTCACTGTTTTGATAATGGAAACGTAGGAGAAGATCATGATCATGACGGGGACGAAGAAGCAGAAGATGAGGATGGAGATGATGTAGGACTTGTAAATCGTAGAGTAATTGGCTTTGGACCAGTCCACCTCACAGGTGCCGTAACCTCGGTCTTGAAAACACAAGAAGAGGTCATATAGCAGCTCATTGATTATCTCGTATCAATATTTATTTTTCTGTTAGACACACCTGTGTAGCTGCCCCATCCCAGCAGTGGAGCAACAGACCAGAACACGGCTCCGGCCCAAATGAAGATTAGTGCTATGGCGACAGTGTTTATGCTGATGCAGTTAGCTGCAAAGATAAACAACAGCAATAATACAATTTATCAACTCTAAATTATGGATCTGATTATGGGACTGACATCTGGTTCAGAAGGTCAAATGTTGGTATTTTGGCAAATACCGAACGGAAAATGAGAGGCTTGAAAAGAATGCTAAATTCTTGACTTGCTATGAATGTTTGTCTTGACATTTATTGAACAATGAAGTCTTTTCTGATAACAGCCTTTGTAATCATCAGCGAGACCTCTGTTGAGAAAAGGTTTTGTATTCGAGGGAAAGAAAAAAAAAAGTGTGTTTTTTTCTGCAGTTGTTCACACCTTAAAGTCACAGTTCTGATATTTTAAAGGGAGAGGACATGGAAAGATTATGAACAATAAACGACTTACCTGTTGTAGATAACTCTTGATTACCTCCTTTAGGAGAAATTGAGTTAAAGTAGGAACATATAATACAGCCTGGTTGTCGTAGGTACAAGAAACATCCCATAAAGACCAGGAATGTATTGTTCCTTACTGAAATACTTACAAGATGTGTACTTTGTATTTACTAGGCACGTACCTGGTAATTACGGGGTATGTGTCGTAATCTTTATTTTTCTGGTATTTTATTTAGTTCCTTGAGTTTATCTTTCAGTTTTGTTTTTAACATTTCAACTAAATGTTTGTGTATTTACTGAAGTCAGGGAACTTTGCACCGGGAACGTTTTTTTTCAGTTAAGGTTACACGATTGAATCTCTGTTGTAAAGCCACGAGCCGTCTCACGGATACTGCCGTCTTTGTTTGGCGCCGCCCACCACATACAGCATGCAGTGGCTTGTGGGATTGTTACGGGGCAACCGACGGTGAAGTCAACGATGAGCAGGTCATCAACTTTTGAAAAACGAACTGTTGAGCAGCTTAAAGTTTTTGTTGGTTCATGATGTACCCATTTCTAATATGAAAAGGACATACTTGTCAAGAGTTATGCTGCTCATATGTCTGAATCAAAGCCAAAAGGACTAGCCTACATACAATCTCGAGGTAGACCTATTTATAATTCTATAAATGTTGAGTATAAAATGTCATTCCTGGTTGCACATCATACACGACATAAACATTAATTGGTTCATTTATGTGTTTTTGTTACAGTAGTGGTAAAGCATATTTGTAACTGTGGTTTGTAACCTTCAGCGTGGTGGATGTTGTTAATAAATAAACTGTAAACGAATGTATAGATGTGTTCAAGTTCTCAGCTTCACTTACTGAAATAAAGTAACGTTTACGTTGCAACACTTGTAGGGGCTCAATCAATAACTACTGAAGGTAGTCCATGTCTGTATATTTTGTAATGTTAAGTGGTCAAAATAATCTCTGAGAAAATTAGACATGTGAACAAGATCGCTGTAAACCACATCAACACATTTAGCACTAGACATATATAATACTAGACCTTGTGCGACTCTCAGAAGTTTTCATTATTCTATAGATTATTATCTTACTTGTTCTTGAATTTGCAATCATTGTTGCAAATATACACGGAGCAGCGATCGCCATGACCCATTTTCACACTTATTCTAGTCACACCAAACAGGACCTCGATGCTTTGCGCTAAACAAACATGGCGGTATCCATGAAATGGCTCATGCCGTTGTCAGTGGTGGGCACAGCTAACCAAAAAGTTAACTTTGTAACCCATATTCTGCTAAAAAAATTGCTGTGCTAACGCTAAACTACTGAACAGTTTAAAAAAAATAGCAGAAGCTAACACTAAACTGCTTTCTGCTAAGACGACCGTCATTGTCAAACATTTTCATCTCCTTCCAGTTGAAGCTGCATTGACCAATCACGTCTCGTCATGTGTGCATGTAGAGAGCCAGTAGTGTGCCAAATGGACTCTTCGAGACACGCCCACAATAGACAGGAACGAGCTTGACGATTTTGTTAGAGGACTTTAAGTTGGCGAAACCTAATGTAGCAGAAGCTAACTCCACTAACGGTTTCCAAAGTTAACGAAAATGCTAATCCGCTAAACAAATTTACATTTTAGTACAGCCGTCCAAATGTAGACGAGGGTGCATGAGGCTGAAGCCTCATGTGAAGCGCTGCCCTTTTCATTTAGATAAGGAAAAGGAAAAACATGAGGAAAGGGGGAGGTATAAAAAATCATATCTCACACTGTGTCCTTGATGGGATAGAGTCAGGTTGCAAAATCTCAGCACAAGAAAAAGCAACACACTGGTGGCATAAAGACATATAAGGTTCACAGGTCAAAGAGCAGAGCAGGAGGGAAAAGCATCCGTCTTCACCGAGAGCAAGAAGGAAAATAAATAAATAAATAACCAAAAGGTAAATGGACTGTACTTATAGTGCCTTTTTATCTTATCAAGATACTCAAAGCACTTTAAAACACAATCTGTGCCCTCATTTACCCAATCGTACAGCACTCTACAATATCTGTTCAAAGAATAATCAGTGCTTAGATCACATTCATACACCGATGGGACACACGGAGGCAATGACGGACTCGCTGTCTTGCCCAGGGACACTTTGGCATGTCTGCTGGTGGAATTGAACCCCCAACTCTAACCACTCAGCCACAGAGCCCAAATTAGTTCCACTATTAGTTCTTAGCAGTGCTTAATTTGAGCCGGATCCTGCCGGAACAGGATCTAGGAACTCTCTTATATTGACACGGTGCATTCTGGTAACTGTTTGTTTGGATCCGGTAACACTCAGGCGTATTAATAATACACTTATGAACAAATAAGACTGCCTTGAACAAATAAAACTTATATTGGATATGTAAACTGAAAATAATTACATAAACACTCATTTTAAACACAGCAGCCACTTACGAGCATATGATCTGCCTCTTCAAGTAGCATTTCCTCGTCTACCCTTCAAAAAAAATCTCCACCCCTAAAAGTATGGTGGAGGTGAGTGCCGAGCTAACCAGGCAGTCGTACGCGGGCAGGAGCCAACAGGCAGCTGCGACAGACGGAGGAGTCGGGCTCGGAATGTCAAGTAAGGGGGGGTGGGGGTGCTTGACAGAAGCTGAGTGTTTACAAATGTAGGTAAACATATATGTTTAACAACTCATTAAAATACAACAAAATGCAGGATATCACATCTACTTTTTTCAAAATTCTCTAGGGGAGGATTCCAAGACCCCCGCCATTCCTGGGTATTTGAGTTCCGGCATCGATCAGTTTACAAATTAAGCCCTGGTTGTTAGAGGATTAGCAGAAATGTTCCCACCACTGGCAGTTGTACTAACATCCAGGTTACTGTGAGATGGCAGTGAATTATCTATGCAAATATGTGCATGATGTGGAGATCCCCATTCTGACCAGATTGGCAAATTAGCAGGTCCAAGTGCAGCAAAAGTCTATTTTTGACATCCCAAAACAGCTCCAGTCTCAAATATTTCTAAGCAATTTGTGCTAGCAATTTATCAATGTTTGCACTCCAAAATTTAGGAATATGGGGATTGTCCTGAAGAAATATGATATTCTTGCCAGAAGTGCCCCAGTCTGCAAACTGCTAAAGCTAACTGCCGCAGATGCTATTTGCATTAGAAAAAAGCACAGAGCTCAATATACATAACTGTGTAAAGCTGAACTGATGGCAATAAAGGTTTATAAAACAGAGTTTAACTGCTATGAAAGTTTTGGGATCAGAGTGGTCTTAAGAAGCCAAGACTACCTTTTGGTCTTGCATCTGATGGGGCTAGGAGTTAGCCCGACAGTCTGAACTGATGCGACCAGCTGATAAGATGTTTTTGCTCCTAACTTTTCTACAGAACCTCACCTTAACAAGTGTGTTCTATTACTTTATTAAAATACTACGCAGTGCAGTTTGCAGTGCTTTTATTGCCATTGGTAACTGACTGTCTTTTATCAAAATATCTAGCCTAGCTCCTTTCTTGCACCTTGCAGCATTTACATTCCTTTATCTCGCTCTGGTTGTTTGCAGCAACTGTTCCGTGGCAAAACATACAGTTTGTGTGTCCCACATTTACCACTAATGCTTACAGTTTACAGTCCAACATGAAATACCAACACTCACAGGTTCATAAAACTTAAAAATAACCACAAACACTGTAAAAAAAAATCAGAGGCAGTGCTCAACCTAATTTCCACGTAATTAGGACATTCTTAGACATCAGTTTTACGCCAGAAAAAGATAATTTCACCTCAAATTGACTTAATAACAGGTTGGTGGAATATAAACAAAATCGCTGGAGACAAGTGGTAGTTATTTCCACCACTGAAGTCAGTAAGAGAGTTTCATTAGATGAAAACGCTCATTTTCAGTCAGACGAGACCTGGTGGGATGTGACATGTGACAATGTGAAGCTTCGGCGTGTTTTTGTTCTCACCTTTGTGCGGGTGGCATCCCTTGATGTATCTGGTGACGCTGATCACAGTCAACGTGTTGATGCTGACGAGGCCAAAGAGCAACGTGAGGAAGCCATCTACCTGGAAGAAGACAGAACAAAGGGACCAGTGATTCATAACATTCTTATTATCAAAGTATCTTCATAAGTACTAAAGATTTTTGGGCATTGATTTGATTGGTTTCTCCACCTTTTTTGTCCCCTATCGTGGATCAAAGAGGATAATTGAAAATACTTTCCGTCTATCAATCCATGACCTTCCATCTTCTGAGCTAGATACTTTGAAAAATAAGTGAGATACTAGGGTGGCATGGTGGCTCAATTGATAGAGCTGTTGCCTTTCAGTGAGAAGGTCGCTGATTCAAATCCAGGCCCGGGACCTTTCTGAGTGGAGTTTGCATGTTCTCTCCGTGCATGCATGGGTTTTCCCTGGGCACTCCGGTTTCCTCCCACAGAACAAAAACATGCATGTTAGACTGATTGGTAACTCTAAATTGTCTCTAGGTGTGAGTGAAAGAGTGAATGGTTGTTTGTCTTGTTTGTCTCTATGTGTCCCTGTGATGCAATGGAGACCTGTCCAGGGTGTCCCCCGTCTCTTGCACAGTGACTGCTGGACATGGGCACCAGTGACCCCCACGACCCAAAAAGGAAGAAGCGGGTAAAAGATAATGGATGGATGTATGGAAGGAAGTGAGGTACTAGCTTTCATTTTGGTGTGTGGCTACATCTAAGCGGAAGACAAGTCACTATTGAAAATTGGGTTACCATATCAAAATCCAAGATGGTCACCACCATGTATACTGTATGTATATGTAAACCGGAAACTATGCTTAACAAGTTTTATATTGCTTAAAAGTATAGTTTCCTTAAATGATTGGGGTGACTGAAGATTACCAGTAATCTATCTTAAATCCAATCTTTGGTGGTCCAAACTATGGTGGCCAAGGCCACCATTGTCCACCCCTGGCTCCACCATTGTGTCTGATCAGGGATAAAAAATTTTCCTTCCACTTGCCAGAATCCATCATTCTGCGCTGCCTTGAACAAGCAAAATTTAAGAACTACCTCTGTTCTTCTCCACAGTGTAATTCTTACTCACTTGATTTATCTCCCTCCGAAAACGTTAAGGTTTACTTATTCCCTGTTCCAATTCCAGCCCAGATAAACTCTCATCTCAAGAAGTACAGAGTCACTATTCAAATCCCTCAGCAATGGGGGACATTGGCGTACCACTCGTCTAAACGGCGCTACAGTTGAAAACTTGTTCCTGCATTTTGATCAGAATGCAGAAATGCATATCGCCTGCTGCCTTTCATGCCAGTTTCTAAGATCATTTTGTGATGAACAGTAACAGAGTTCAAGCTGTTTTGGTCCAAAGTTGGAAATGATGGTTCATGCACACTCGCGTTGTGAGATCTACTACCATCAGTAACTTTGATCTCGTTAGTGTAAAATTAACAGTTATCTTCAATTTATTTATTTTTAAGAGTTGCTTAGCTGTGGTGGCTATTTTGACTGAAGTTGACTACAAAAAATAGCTGTGATTTCCTAAAGAAGTTACCAAAGTACATTTTTGTCATCTTTTTAAGCCAAAGCTTCCTGAAGGTATATGTTGCCATGTTTCAGTCCAGTTGCAGGTATGTGACACCCTGCCGGGTCACGATCAGGTGACGCAGCTCATTCAGGGTCGTCCACTGATTACTTTCTTGATCTGTCCTGATCCTAATCCTATTACTGTCACTCGTCATGTTTTTCCTCACTCACGTTCTGCAGGTTGCAGGACTCCAGGATTTGAACCAGTGTAAGAGTTGATTTTAGTACTGGTTCATGAATAAGTTAGTTTCAGACACGTTGATGAAATTGTGCAGTTTTGCTCATGCAAGCTTATTTTAGATGGGAGAAGTAATATCACAGTGTCAAAGTTAATGCAGCTTGTTTGGTTCTGGAAGCTCCTACTATGGTTCAGACCCTCTGGATAATGGTCTTGGGTGAAAAACACGTGGTTCTGGCCAAGCTTGAGCTGTTCATGTCACATCACGCTCTGTGTGTTAATCTACTCCTGTCTCCTTTGCCTTTCTGTTTTCCCTCATCTCTTTGTATACAAATGCTTGTTTCTTCCCTCAAACTAACTCACAACAAGCCCTTCTTTCATAGGAAGGTAAAATGAGTGGTATACTAAAGCTAAATGTGTTCTGCACCCACCATCGTGTTTTGTTTATAAAGTTCCTGAGTGAATAGCACGGTTTCGCCTTGAGCAAGAAAAATACCCAGTTTGAATTTCAAGCTAAAGAATGACAGCTATTTCATTTAGAGCTGAGGCAGAAAGGGAATACAAAAACATGGGGAGAAATGTGCTCCTCGGAGCCATTTTGCATCGTTGCAGTTTTTTTGTTATTTTAGATACAAATATGGAAAAGCAGAGGATTCAAACACACAATGTACATCCATGCTGGAGATCTTACTGTGCTCCGTCTGGTTGTTGGGTTTCTGCTAGAGTTTCACCAATTGTAATCTTATTATAGATTTAACCTCAAGCCCACATGGCTGCCACCATAATCCCTTGTGCACACACTCAGTTACACACAGTCTAACTTTAAGAATCCAACACATTCTTTCAATCTATTTGATTTTCTGGGCTTGTCCAAAACTAAAATGTAAAACCTGTTTTCATCAGCTCCCACAGTCTTCATACCATTCTAAACATTTTCTGGTTTTACCTGGCAAGTCCAGATCCACGTGATCAAGTACCCATCGTCCCGGAATATGTTGAATATTTCCAGGATTCCTCGGGAGTAGCCGAACACCGAGATGCTGGCGTCAGAGATGGCGAGATTTAATGTGAAGAAATCCGTTGGTTGAAGCGAGGCGCGCTGCCGGTACAAGACAAATATCACCAAGCTGTTTCCAAACCATGACAGCCATCCTGAAAAAAATCAACGGAGCGGTCAGGGTGGTGGAGGAGATGCCAGGAGTGATGGTGGAGCAGCTGGAGACTTGGTGGGACAACTGGGAGGGTCTCAGGCTGAAGGTAAAACTGGATAAACAACAAATTCAGATTCTAGGAAATGGAAAAGAAGACATGTCATCCATCCAACCAACCAACCAACCAACCATCCAACCAACCAACCAACCAACCAACCAACCAACCATCCATCCATCCATCCATCCATCCATCCCTCCATCCATCCATCCATCCATCATCCATCCAACCAACCAACCAACCAACCATCCATCCATCATCCATCCAATATCCATTCAAGCATCCATCCATCCAACCATTCATTCATCATCATCCATTTATCTATCATCCATCCAACCATCCATCCATCCAACCATCCACCCATCATCCATCCAATATTATCCATCATTCATCCAACTATCCATCCAATATCCATCCAAGCATCCATCCATCCATCCATCATCTATCATCCATCCAAATATTCATCCAAGCATCCTTCCATCCAACCATTCATTCATCATCATCCATTTATCCATCCAACCATCCATCCATCATCCATCTATTAGTTTAACCATCCATCCATGCAAACATCCATCCATCCAGCCATCCAACTATCCATCCATGCAACCATCCATCCATTCATCCATCCATCCAATCATCCATCCAAACATCTATCCAACCATCCATGCATCCAACCAACCACCCATCCATCATCCATCCATCCATCCATCAATCCATTCATCCATCCATTTATCCATCCATCCATCCATCCATCTACCCAACCTTTCAACCATCTGTCCGTCTGTCCGGCTGTCCGTCTTTCCTTCCTTCCTTCCTCCCATCCATCTGTCTCTTATTTATTTCCTGTATTTAAATCCTCTCATAAAACACTTTTTTCTCCTTAGCAGATAAACCAGATTAAGACATTAGTTGTATTTTGTTTGATATATTTTTATGATTTTATTTAGTTACTGTTTTTCTGTTTGATTTTATTGTTTTTATTTGTGTTTAGAATACTTTTATCTCACTCTTTTCTTTTTGTTGTTGGTATGCACAGCATTTTTGGTAAGTGATGGTTTTTAAAGTGCTATATGGATAAAGTTGTACTATATAGTCTGACTGTCTGTCTCTCTGTCTATCTGTCCATTAATAGTAAATCAAAAGCTCTGTATTTTGGTTCTGCTCCTTCTTCATTAAGAGAGACTGGCACAACACCCTTATTACTTCAGACAAAGCCCTGATTTATTCTTTCAATCTTATGTTCCTTCACTACTTGTGAACAAGACACCAAGTCTAATTTAATTATTGCCAAATATCATAAAATTAAATGAATACTGCTATAAACGTTTCAGTGTAGTTTATTAAAGCAAAGTGCATCAGAATGAGCTTCAAATTTTTAACAATTTCAAAGTCATACAATTTAGAATCAGTTTCGAGTAGAGAAATGCAAAATAAATCTTTATAATATGGTGCTCTCTTGTTAGAGAAAGTCTCATTAAGTGTAGAGTCTAAGAAGTTGCAGAAGAATAAAGATATTGGGAATCTTCTGACTTCGTCCTGAGCAGTAGTGGGAATAAATTAGGAAGCTTAGACATAAATAATTTTACTCTGTGGCTGGATAACGGCAACAATAAGCCACAAAAAGCCTGTGTCTTTTTCTAAGCCTCCTTTACACAAAAACGATTGACTGACTTATTAGTTGGAAGAGACCGGCAGCAGTAGACCGGCATCGTATATGCATGAGAAACTGCTAATCCTGGGTGGATATATGAGCTATTTAAATAAGGAAGTATTTCTGGAGCACTAACAAGAACAAAAGGTCGACTTACCCAACACTAACAAGTAGGCTCCGATGATGGTTTCTCCTTGTTCAGAAAAAGGAGGGTCTGCATGTAGACTGCTGAGGTTGTTGTTCCTCCATGGAATATTCACCACCTTCATTGGTAAACTCTTCAGCGTTATTTCCATGGCCTGAACTTTGACGCCTCGGCATGAATTCTTCCTGTCCTCGACAGCAGTGCTGCTCTCTTCTCTTCTCCTTTTGGTAGACGCTACAGTCTCCCACCAGCAGGGATGATGACTGGTTCATTTTAAATCCAGCTTAGACTCAGACAGTAGGACCTGACCACTGAACGTTCAGATGACTGCAGCAGTAATCCTATCTATGACTTACAACTAAGAAGGAAGAGATTTTGGGTGGAAATCCTACTCAGCGGGGAAATAACCAGTCAGTTGGTCAACTGGTACAGGAGTTTTATTTTGCTTTAAGTAGGCAAAGAACAAATAATCCTTATAAGAGGATTCACACGACAGTGCATGGCAAGACCGTCTCCCAAAGTTGATTTAGCCACCAGCACGAACTGTATGCACACTGAGGTGAAGACTCCTGGAGAACGGCCTGGTCCAAGAAGGGCAGCAAATAAACCATGTCTCTCCATGAAAAACATCTGGTATAGACTGATAGTTTGTAAAATTCCTTTCCAGTTGTTTGGGCCATCTGAAAATAAATTGTGTGAAAGAAGGGAAGATGAGCTCTACCGTCACTCCTATGTCACACCAACAGTAAAGGCGTCCTGAGACCATCCATGTGCGGGGTTGCTTGTCATTTTCCACAAGAACTTGACCATGAATAAAGAAAGTTAAATAAACGTCCTCAAAAAAGAACTTTTTCCCAACCATCCAAGAACAGTTTGGTGACTGTCACGGTTTTGAGGTCATTGGTGTTTCTTTTTAAAATTAAAAAAAAAAAAGTTCTCCTGTTTGATTGTCCCCGTCACGGAGCGAAGAAGAGGAATTGGAACTACCCTCCCTCCATCCGTCCGCCCGTCAGTCATGAAAACTCAGAAAACAAGTGAGGTACTAATTTCCATTTTGATGCGTGGCTACATCTAGTCTATCTTCTGCGTTTTGTTAACCAGTCACAAACCTCACCTGCTTCTGCTCAACTCACCCATTCCAGTTGTATTTAATCTCCTCTGTTCCTTTGTTCTCTGTCAGATCCTCACATGTAAGTCTCGGTTCTCTGTTTCGCAAAAGCTGCTTTTGTTTTGTATATTTTAAACCATTCATCAACAAACAAACATTTACAGAGACAAACCTAGCCTTTTCCAGCACGATGGCGCACTGTGCTAT